AATTTAAACATTATATTATCCTTGTAGACTATTATACTATTTCAATGTAGCCAACAATATATGGTTTCGTGAATAGGACAATGGATTGAGTAATTAATCCAGTGCTTTGAGTATACGAACAATATAATTTTATTAATTTCCTGCCATAAACATATGAAGGTCGAAACTTAGTTACGACTTCATCAATATTTACAGTTTTTCCGTGTATATGTTTTTGAAACAAATATTATTAGAAATCTATTTATTAACGTTAGAGAATTTTAAATATTATTAAATATATACCTATTTATAATTTCTATTAATAATTATTGTGTATTGGCAGTAATAATCCATTACAAATGTATTTCTAAACATATCCTTGACTTTGAACAATGAGAGTAAGGAAAATGTATAACATTGGTTTATTTAGGTTAAGGTTTACAATAAAGCTTGAATTCATAGAAATTAATTCAATACTTTAACTCGGTTACAGCTTATATTCGTTTGAAAATATGTTTCTGTAGTGTTCTAAGAAATACATTAAATGCTTATCATTTCGAAACGTGACTGCACTTAAACAAATACCTATCCATAGTATATAATTTGAATTAGTAGACGCTGTTATTAAATAGTTGTTTTATATAAAAAAAAATCCAAGCATACGAAGGGTTCAGGAAATTATTAATAATTCTTCCTCGTCCTAATCTATTTTACATCTATTAGAAGGTTAAAACAGATCTTATTGTTAGAATATACAGTACTGAAAACAATAAATTTGAATAAAATAACGTGTTACATTTAATACATATGGCATTAGACTGAACCTGTGTCGAAGACTGTATTAAAAAACTAATGATAGACACTATTCGGCTCATAATCAATTCAACATGTGGGCGTCAATATTCAATGCAAATTTTTTTCGTCTACAACACGACAGACGAAAAATGAGTGAACAATACTCTGCCAAACTTCCTTTGTTCCTTTTACGATGTATAAGAATATATAAAACCTGCGCCGTCACACAGATTACTGTAAGAACAGAGACTGAAAGAAAAATACTCTCATATTTTTTACAATTTTACCGTAATCTCACTAAATATAATTTTACAAACAAAAAAAACAAAATGTTTTAAGCTTATAAAAAATACACGTGTTTTGTTATTTGTGGCTAATAAAAATTTTAATTACACGCTTCCATGAATGGAAACTTTACATAATAAAAATACATTAATTACGTCGTTAACATCCTAAAATTTTTTAAATAGGGCAAGGTGATTTCGTAGGAACTGTATAAATTTTATAAGCAATAAAATAGATTTATTAATGTAAATATGATATCGATATTCGATACCAATGATAATAAACGTTTAAAAGAAAGCAAACACCGCTTGTATTGTAAGCTCTATGGTGTTTTTACTCTGTGTATTGCTGTTGTGTGAGTCTCGAACACACCCATCCGAAGCCGAAAATTGCGGACGATAGTTTTTGCCCGCTGCCGAGTGTCAAGGACACGAGCGCTTCTGTTGCTACGTTCAACACAAACGCAAGTTAAATATAACTTGTTTTAACTCCATTTAGATTTTGGGAGTTTTAATTTTTTATCACTCCCCACATTGCTGTTTACTTTTTTATGAATCTTTCTTTCTTTGATATTATCAATACGTATTGTTCTCGAGTATTAATCGATAAATCGATTTTATTAAGCTATTAATTAAATACATCGGCTAGTTATTCGACTATTTAAATTGTTTATAATCGATTAATTTATTCTAAATAAAACGGAAAGTACTCGAAAACTGTCAACAAGTGTCATTGACCCTAATGACATACAAGAAGATAAACTAAAAACACAAGTAACATAGATTTAAACAAGTAAAATCCAGTTTCTAATTAAAATTCGTTTTAAATTGAGCGTGGCTAATCACAAATTACTATATGTAGAGTTTTTAGTTAGCTAATGATTGAGTTATTTTTTTATTACGATCGTATACTGTTATTTATTGATTTTAGATGTAGATTAATAAACGTGACAGAGCTTTTATGGCATAGACTTAACATGCAGTCGTAGTTTTTATACTTGTTATTTTCGTAGACAACATGCATTAAAAATACTTAATTATTATTCTTAAATATAAAAAGAATTTATCGTATCATCAATTTTGTTAAATATTATGTTACGGATGCAAATATTTCAATTAATTGCTACCGTAAAATTATATGCGAAAGATTATCTTATAACCGACGCGACGTTTTGAATTAAGAATTTAATATTCCTTTATTTTGTCATAATAAATAAACAAATTAGTAATAATATTAAAAATGGCCAGTGATAAAAAGAAAAATATAAAGATTTTATTCTCATTTTTGATATTTCAATATATATTATATTACCCATATATAATTATTATTATATATAATGTCGGCCTGTCTGTCGTGAGTCGTTTGACAGTTAATAAATGATTTGATAGTTTCAAATAAGCCATCAATCTTAGTCATATTAGAATAGAATTAAAATTGAATTGAAAATAATCTGTTTTTTTAACGAACCTGTTATGTCATTTGAAGAACAAATGTCATTCACTAAATATCTTTAACTTGTTAGTTGTTTTTTACTCTATGCAGAGAATTTATTTAGAGTAATATTTTATTGTTAAAAATATTTTCTTTCATAATATTTATGTACGATCAAATAGAATATGAAAAACGTTGATGTGAGCTAAAATTATTCTTGTATAGATAAACATATGTAGTCGAATATAAAACTGTGAAAAAAATCTTTTAATATTCCATTTATATAACAAATATGGTGTAACATATGAAACATTATAATTACATTTGATTATGATGAAAAAACCGCACCAGTTATTTAAAAAATTACGTATTCCTCATAAATACTAAGTAACCTTCGGTGACCATAAAGTAACGTCCATTCATTGTTTTACGATCACTTCATATAATTTTAATACCTCAAGCTAAATGTATAAGTATACAAGTATATTATGCAATACGATTGCTTAAAATAAAATTTTAAACTGGTTCCCTTTATCGTTTGTTACTGTAAATGTATAACATATGTATATATATGCAGACGCATTTTTAATATAAAATAAATAAACCTATAAATAAAAACTCTGAAATTTTATATTAGTATAATTTTCGTAGTTATTCGTATTATCTAATAAAAGGCTCGTTTCAAACGTGCACTTACTTGGCAAATAAAAGTAATGCAATTACCACCGACATGTATTAAATCAGTGGCGGGTGCGGCTGAAACTAGGTTACCCATTTCTTACACGGAACAAAGAGACAACTCAGGCGAACCATTCCGATGGTTTTATATCCTTTTGGAATTAACCGCTCGACCCCTTTCCGTGAAACGTCTTTTTTTATCTCTTTCTCACTCATAACACTTTTAATATGTCTAAGTGAGATGGTGCAAGTGAATTTCACAAAAAGATTTTCCCCTCTTCTGAAATGTGTTTCGAGAAATTATTGCGTTTTGTACCGTTAAGTAAATATATATTCAAATATTTGTCAAGTTTGTGCCCACGCTTATCGGCCGGATACATATATTTTTCATTTTCCTTTTTTGTTACGGACGTCCTACTAGCATATGCATATGGAAACTGCCCACGTCGAATTTTAACAGTTGTTAAGGATAAGTTAATATAAGGATATTAACCAAAAATAATGAAACATACATTTCATATGCGTTAATATATTTGCACAGATGTTCATTTACTCTCCAAACAAGTAATAGAAATCCGGCTACTGATGGAAAAATCAACATTAAGTAACATGTAGTGTTTTTTGTAGCGTAACAAGTTTTTGCTAGTTTTGCCATATCTTTATTTGAATTCGTTTTTTTTTTCAAATTCTCTTGTATGAAATTTCGTAAAAATCCACAACCACTTTATTATTAACAGAAAACATAATGGTAAACTATTTCAATTTAATTAATGTATTGAAGAGGCGTGGCAGAATAGCTTCCTAAAGTATGTCAAACGTTTAATAGTCGGGCGTTTTAGAATTCTAAGCAGATACGGTTTATAATTTCGTATTAAGAGAACAGCAATGCTACCATAGAATAGTGTTTTATTGTATTTACGTGACAGATATGACTTCAGATATCTTGTACGCGGTAGGTCAAGGTGTTCCGCAGCTTTCGACTCTGAGCTATGTAGGGAATAGACACATTTAGCTCCTGCGCTAACAGTACACACGAATCGTGTTTATTGTCACGTCTTTGTATCGATGGCGACAATTTCGTATGTTCTCTGGAACATGTTAACGTGGTATAGATTCACTGAATACATGAATGCCCTTGCACGACGCCTCGACAATGGAGTAGACGGTACACGGAAGAACGTTTTAATGCGTCATAAAAAGCGCTAGTTTTAATTTTACAGCGCACATACAATTGGTGTATGTGAAATAGAGTTTTATTGGAGTCGCATCCTGGCCACGAGGTCGTATGAGCAGCTCTCATTAAAAACCAGCTGTGACTTTCGCGAAATCGTCAGATTTTATTGCGAAAACCAAAACTTGTCTTTTGTATGATTTGTCATAGTATGCCATTTTTTTCCTACGCCAGCGCACCAAATTCTCTGCTTTTTTGAAACAATATATGCTCTTTTAGACTTTATGCAGAATTATATCCAAATCAATGGTCCATTTTTCGTGACTAACTAGACTTATTCATCACTTCTATAGCATTTATAATGTTAGGTACCTACTGTTAATTGAAAATTATGCTTATAAATTTTAAATAAAATCAATACTAATCTAAAACATTCTTTGATTTCAGGTGTGTCATTGTAATGAGCGTTACCATCCCGTGAAGATTTCTTGACGGACTCAAGTGCCATTGAGAACCAGTTTACCACAACAGTGATATTTAGTATAGTTGATAATTATAGTGCGTTACCGTGATATAGACTTAGTGTTAATATTATAAAGTATCAGTTTTGTTCATATAAAGTTAAAAGAAAGAAGCGAAACTGGCTCCCTATAAGGATATAATGAACTCGTCGAGCATTAGCTCAGCAGTGCCGACAATTAAATGTGAGGATACGTCTCCCTCGCCTACAGCTGCCGTTGGTACAGACGGAGAGTCGGGGGCATATCTTAGTGTTAACGTCAATCTGAGTACTGCCATGATGAACCTACTCGCTGCGGAAGGCGCCAACACCACGCTGAGAACACCAGAAATCGTTAACGACCTAATCACCATGTCAAACCCCATGGACCAATACAACTACGACAAAAATTCCAGCTTCAAGGTAACATACATGATAAATAAATTATTAATGCAATAATTATGCAGTTAGCCATACTTACGATCGTATAAAATATTACCTGCATCATTTAATAGTTTAATAGTCACGTTTCCTTCCATGTGTCAATGCTATAAAACTTTGCATCCATCAAATAAATCAATAGAAAATAATGATATTATATGCGACCCTGAAACTTAATGTTTTATGCGACCCACATAAATTTAAGCATGCACTACGTATTGTTTACCCGATGTTAGTTTAACAAAGTAAAATACTTGAGAATTCATCCTTACAATATGTTACAAATCGATCAAAATGCAAAGTATATCCTTAGAGTATTTAGGTCTTGCACACAAAGTGCGCTTTCGAATGCAAATTAAGCAAATTGAACGCCTGCCAAGCTCTATGACACGTAATGAGAGACCATCCGTCATTGCAGACGTTGGAAGTATTCCAGCGTCGTGATCAGTTCGTGTACCTGGAGCTAGCAGCGAACAGACAGACAGACAGACCTATTGTCGCCGTTGTAATGAATATGCATAACAAATCTCCAATTAAATAACTACATTCTCAGCTCATCTCAGACCTATACAGGCTTTATAAACCTTAGTTTTACCTCAATAATTTCAAAATTACATGACAGTTTTGTTTCTGCATAGAATATATAATATTGAATCGTCGTTACTTGCTTGAATATAATGTAGAATTTTCTATGAGCTTCCATTTAATTGCCGACAACAATTCAATCCCATTACAAATGAATATCATTAAGATCTATGTTGAAGGGAATTCAGAGCGTGAAATGCTCACGAACAAAAGGCTAATCTGATGACCATTTTATTGTGACCTCTATATATACTATTTAGACATCCATAGAAATAGTATTGTCACATTTGCTATTTAAATATTTTTTATAGTTTGATTTATATAAGCGCCGTAAAGTTTCATGTGGTTAGCATACGGCGACAAAATATCTTCTAAAGTGCCTTTGTGCTATTACGATAAACCATTTAAAATGTTATCTTTGTACTTTGTATTAGGGATAATAAATCATATTAATAATAATTTATATACAGCCAAAGAAACTTATAAAATTTTTCGAAAATATTTTAGGTAATTTATTTTTTATATTTAGTTGATTGTAAGCATATTATTTTATAATTATTATACGATCAGTTATAAACGTAATTTAACCTTGTAATCTAATTTAATTAGAAATTTATTGCAATTGTGTTTAGCTGTCAAAATTTTTCAATTCCATCTGACATAATATAGTTGCTCTTATATACAAGATTCAACATACAAAAAAATCCACTTTAGTAAACACGTCGTCCACCAAGTAACACAGATTTTCCATTTAGTTGACCGCTGATATGGTAACCGTTTCATTATTTAGTTCCCGGCGACTCTCATTTCCCCTTGTCATTTCAGAACAGCAATGACTCGAATTCTTCAATGTCAAACAGTTCGTCAGCTACCTCGCCAGCCTCTGGAACACCGCCCAGCATACAAAAGGTATGAATTTTATATCATAATACTTAACTACCTTCTTCCTGGCAATTTCCCATCCCTATCCAGGGTCTGCCTACCTATAATGCTTGACTATAATGTTGTAAAACTATATATATCAGGGGCGTGCATAGAGATTTGGAGTAGGGTAAGCAGAATATATATTTGAAAGAAAAAAATTACGTTTTACAACATAATTTCCTCATCTATTCTCTAAATAATGAACCTAATGACAAATTAGTCAGTAAATATTTGTGTTCCATTATGGACGATTCAAAGTTTATAAGAAAAAATTAACAAAGTAGGTTTAGTTGTTGTATAAGCAGTGCTTAATTGCATCAATGGTGTGCACGCCACTGGTAAATTTTGGATATATTTGACGATACTATTCTCAATAAGCAAACGATAATTACATCAAATTTTTAATATAAAACCCTTTGTAATTATTTTCCATCACTATAAAGTCACAGAATCAATGTAACTGCTACTCCGTCGATTGTCGTAGACGTTATTATAAACATATTCACAATTACTATAGTGATTGCTGGATGAAGCCATTATAGAATTAATAATAGGTTGTGTTAAAACATTGTCAGTGTTTCAAAAGTTTTTATAAGGTTTGAAACATCACAACTCCGCCTTTAATACTTAACAATGTTTTAAAGTTAGATTCATCACTTAATAACATAGAACGCAGTCTTAAAACACTAATATTATAAAGGTTTAAAGACGCAATTTATTTAAAATATACTTATTTTTATACAACCAAGTAAATAGTTTTTGCTACGATCTCAAACAATGGATGGTTGTTATGTGAGAAAACTAACACCTCCATTTACTTGTGCATAGAAAAATCACAATTGCATTTGTCTTATGAAGATTCGATTCGTTTATATTGTAAGAATAAAACAATAAATATACTCATTTTATATTATAATGTAACAATTCTAGAATATTCTCATCGTGTTCAACTTATTATCTACTAGCTTTCCGCCCGCAGCTTCGCCCGCGTGGAGTTCGGTTGTATCGCGTTTCCAAGAGAACCTTTCAAAAGTCTGTTATAAAAACTATCCTATGTTCTTTCTCAAGGTCAACTCTATCTCTGTACCAAATTTCATTAAAATCAGTTCAGTGGTTTAGCCGTGAAATCGTAACAAACAGACAGACAGTTACTTTCGCATTTTTAATATTAGGAGGGATTGTTTCAGACCTGCTCGGAACTGATCAAGGCTGGTCTGAAGTTATCCATCGAGTCGAAAAGGAAAATGTCAGGAAGCGATACGGATGTTGGCATCAAGAGAATGAAGAAGGAGGAGAGTGATGATGATTACGACAGCAGTCATACCCAGGTGTCTAGAAACGAGGTATATAATGAAGCTGCTAATTCGTTATAACCAGTATAAATTGAGACATGGTCAAATACTATTAGCTTTACGTTATACACAATATTATTCTGATTTCAACTGACAAGGAAATCATATTAGATTAGATTTCAAGTTTAAAACACCGTCTTCAAAACAGCATTACAATTCAACGGCTTCATTGAAGTTTTATGAGTTTTACAAAGAAGGTCGGCATTGCATATGCGGTTCGTGACTTAACTTACCGATTGGAAATTAATGATTTTGTATTGCAAAGTCGAAAGCAAATCATTTCAGTATTACAATCAAAGTCACTTTAATCTTAGGTTGATAGCGATATATGACCAAACGTTATTCAAATTAGCATCTCCATTAATAGATACTATTATATTATCTAATCTTAATTTAAATGCAGTTTTTATAAGTGATTTTTTTATAGCTAACGCCAGAAGACGAGGAAAGGAGACGTCGTAGAAGGGAAAGAAACAAAATAGCAGCGACTAAATGTAGAATGAAGAAGCGAGAACGAACTGTGAACCTCGTGAATGAAAGCGAAGTACTTGAAAACCAGAATATTGACCTCAAGGCACAACTTAAGGTAAAAACTTATCGTATACACGGATGCCGCTTATCTTAGTTCATTAGTGTTAATTTATATAATAAAAAACCAATTCTGATAAACTATATGACTTACGATCCTGTTGGATGTAAATGTATAATATTTATTTTTAATTCTCATTGTTTAGATTGGAATTTGTTGATAATACTGCATAGTTTTTGTTTGTTCTATAGGTACCTATTTATAGAACTGCTTTTAATAATAATAGCAAGAAAATATGTACATAATGAGATTTTAGACTTTAACGAGTATTCATTTAAATGAAACTAATATTCTACTATTACTACAAGATTAACATCTCGTCTGTCCGTGATCACGGTTGTTGCAAAGTAACCGAAACGTCGGGAATATGTAAGAAAAATAATGAAAAACACGTAGTATTCCGAAAATATCAGTTTCATTTAAATATAAGTTAATATGTAAATATCAATTTTCCAAAAATACATAGACTAAAAACGCATTATTCATATTATTTCCAGGATCTCGAAGTCCAGAAGCGACAGTTGTTAGACATGTTATCACAGCACGCGTCTTCATGTGTACGGAACAACTCAAACGCCAGAACATCACCGAACTTCAATATGATGAGGACGTTCGAGTCACCAACAACATTCCCCGTCAACTACGACGCCCACTCGCCCTACATACGACCAGAGTCAGCGAATATACTAGCTTCAAGCTATACATGCGCTACACCACTCAACGAGACCATAGATACTATGTCGTTAGACGCGGCTTACATGACGTCGCAGAACATAGACGTCGAATACAACAGACCAGACAGCGTCATCAGTATTCCCGCCAATTCCGACAGTTACATCACAACAGATGGATACCTACCAAAAGCAACAGCCATCCTAGGTCCGATCGAACCGGAAACGGAATACTATGATAATGAGATTAATTACGTCACACAACAATGTCACAGTTACCCCAACAACATACAGGACTCACAACAGAAAATGAACAACAGTCTGAACGACGGCTGTCTGGTCTAAAACATCGCCTTCATCATGAATCGGGTCCAAAAATTATTGTCATACGTATACGTATTAATATTTCGATTTATAAAAATTATCAGCTAATTTATTTTGCGTGTCAAAACTAAAAATACAATTAATGTCCGATGTATTTACATCTTTCCTGCTTGTCACGTCAGTCGGAGAAAGGTATTATTTCGAAACGAAATCGTATGTCTACTGTGTAGAACAACAACGTAGAGTAGTGTGGGAGCCCGTGACAATGTTACGTATTATTATTAAACACTGGAGATAACTTGAAAATTGCCGTCGTACGGTTCGATATGTCACATCGTAACTTTTAATTTATTTGTTTTTAATATTTCAAGTGTTGTGAAATAATAGGAATCACCGTTATCGATTAATTTTCAATAGGGCTGTCAAACAGTCGATAGTTAGGTAGGTACATATTATATTATTTTTAAATTGTAGTTATTAACCCTAACAATACAGCATTCGTTATTATTTGTAAGTTCTATAATTTTGCTTTGATTTGTACAAAATATTTTATTTTTAGATCTGATTATTTAAGCGATGGTGCAATGTTGGATTTGTTAATACACTACAACTGTCACCTGTGTCTAGTCGCCATTAATGACGCCAAATCAAAAAAATAAACAAACAATCATCACAATATAAATATATGATATTATCTTCCAACATATTAATAGATACCTCTTGTTGAAATTCCGTATATTTTATGTAACAGAGAAATATATTCGCATATTATATTTGGGCTTGAAATCCCATTACAAGTTGTTGGTATAAGTTAGGTGTAAGACGCTTTAACTCAGAGTAAGTCGTGATAATGTTACTTGTTATGGTTAAATTACTTAATTTTAGACGTTCAGCTTATGACATTGACTAATATTTTGTATCATAATATTGTATTTTATAAAACACCTAGTGTTAATAAAAACGTAAACATAAAAAAGTGCCTGTTCAATGTACGAAAACTTTATTATAGTTTTGATTTTACCTAGCGGTTAATTAATGTATATAATGTATCTGTGTTGTCAGTTAATACAAAAAAATTACCATTTTTAAACGTTCACATGTATAAAAAATTTGACCATTTGATTATATGAGTATAAATACAAGATATATTAGATTCTGAATAGTTTGAAATCTTTCCATTACAGTGCCTTCATCCAGTGGAACTAGTCTTTGGCTGACAATGTATAACAATTAAGACGCAGCCAGTCGCACAAGCATTTATTTTTGTAATATTGTTATTGTGATTATTAATAAATTATATAGAAACGTTCAAATTAAACTTGTAAGATGAAGCTTATTGTGACAAATGTCTTAATTATTTTTACCTACCATAGACAAGTTGGAACTTTTTTTTCATATATCTCTATATATGGTAATAATATATACTAATTGTATTGCATTAATAATTGTAATAATTTTTCAGTAAATATATGAAACCATCTCAATGATCTTGTCTATAAGATTATTGTTTGAATGATTTCAGTTTACATAATAATTGTTTTTTTATTATTGTTATTTAAAAACGACTGTAATTTTTTTTATTACCAATTGTTTCATTTAATTAAGCTGTTGGTAAAATATTGTATCATGGTACTTCTCTATGTATTTGTAATATTGTTTGTACATTATATATATAGTATATGATATTTTAACAGATATTTTTTGGATAAACTTATATGTTTTTATATCTACAAACTTAATCATTAGTCATATATTGGTAAAACCCTATAATTATATTACTATCAAGTTATAAAATTATACATTTTTATTCTTATTTATATCTAAGTGTTATCAATGTACCTGCTTCTTGAATATAATATTTTGACAATCGAAGCAAAATTACTGTGCTTATCTACTGAAAATAAATCATATATTGCATAAATGTTATATTTTCTTTAAAATCCTTGTTATATTGAAGTTAAATAATTTAAATACTAGGAGATAATAAAAACTCTCAGAGCACATTCAAGATATTTATTTGTCATCACATTAAAACAGGACACAATTACACAAATGTTATTAAAATGTTTGTAATTCTTAAAACGGAATCCTCACAAAGATGTAATATTTAAATTCATTGAATTTAATAATTCGTTTGTATACATAAGTGTAACTCCCAGCCTTTTCCTACCTGAAAATTTTGAGACATGGTTAAAGCCAATTCAGGTTAAATATATCACTTATTAAAATGCTTACATATATAGATACATATATACATATAATATATTATCAACATATAATGTAGGATATTATCAATAAGCATATAAATCAATAGTTAGACTATATTTCAATATTTTTCACTAATAGTGATGATTGTGAATATTCTCTACAAGATATTCTCAAACTAAATCAATTCTACCCTCAATTAAATCAAATAATTTATGTATGAAATAATTTCAGTTTGATTAGTGACAGATATTAGTAAATGGTATGAGGCCCAAGCCGTTAGTAAGCTGTTACATAAAACGTCATACCGCCCGAGTTAGCTGGTCTTCTTCAAACGCTGGTGACAAAAGAAACAATAATTAAACTCTAAACACATTAAAAATAGAGTCGGTTTTTGTTTAACAATTCTCGCGTCAAGCAGACTCGTATGATAAATGATATGATATGATATATATGACTATAGTCACCATTTCGCTCGTTTTGACCAATCTTTCGGAGTCCAGTGAAGACATTTTGGATCTATCCTTAATAATTTCTTCTCCATAGCTTTCTCGTGTTGTTGTATTGTTTCCTATTAAGAAAACAGTAATATTAATTATCAATTATATTCCATTATAGATTTTATGGAATACTTTTTTATCTATATCATTGACAATATTTAGAAAAAAATTATCAATTCAATAATTTTGAAAAAACACTAATAGACATATTATTATAATGTATATTTACCTGGTTAACTGATATAATATACTGTCCCTTGTAATAATTGATGAGGTTTAAATTCTGTAATGTACTTATGACGTCTTCTTTCTTTATACTCGTCAATTCACATATTTCACTGAAGAATAAAAAAAATATTGATATTGTTACATATTCATTACAACATATTTATATTTTTAAGATTTTATAATATTTGTTAATTGATGAAAGTATTTAATTATCAGTGAAATTAGGACTCTATTGTGTCCTTAATAAAGTCCTAATTAAATATGAAAAAAAATTTTTTTCTTCTATATTGTATACTTGTATTTATAAAACTGAATTATAATACCAACTTAATAGTAATGATAGGTTTCTCACTGTCACCCACGGGTTTAATACTTATAAGGATGTCCAGTATAGTTTGAGCCCAGTAACTTCTGTATGATAATAATCCTAAATCTGATAAAGGTTTCTCGGGCGAACCCGTTTTCCCTTCGAATTTCGACAATTCGTAACCTGAAAGATAATATAATATATATTTTTAAACAACTTACGTAGTTATATACAAGAATTTGACTAGGAAACTAATTTTTTTTATTGCATATTTGTTGAGACTAGTCCGTGAATCTGAATTTACTTCTTATAACATCAGCTATGTCAGGTCAAACTTCATTAAAATCATTTCAGTGGTCTAAACCCCTAAGGGTCAGCAAAAACAGAAACACAGAAAATACAAAAAAAAATATTGTGTACATATATGTAGAACATATACATATATGTAGAAAATATACATATATGTAGAACATATACATATATGTAGAACATATACATATATGTAGAACAAATATTCCAATTTATTTGTACAGATAAACGATAAAAGTTCAATTGGTTAACACTTTGTTTTTGAATTAACACAATTTTTGGGAACTAAAAATTATCCCTGCAAAATTTATTTCAAATAAATTTGGTATTTTTTGTAACACATGAAAAAAAAATTCATTACGAGTGCTATATTCTTCATATAAGTAAAATTTAAGTACAATATATTCAACTTACTAAATTCTATAAGTAATGTACCATAACCCTTTCTTTGGTACGGAGGTAATGTCAATATGCACGCTACATTGTAGTCTTCTGTGCTTTCTTTTTCTTTAGAAAAATATCCTACTATGTGAAATCCTGAAAAAATATCCATTTTACTAATTAGTAAGATAATTAATTATCTTAGCTAAATCTTTGTTCTAAATATTTCTGTTAAAATAAAAATCTCATATATATAAATATACTAGAAGACCCGGCGAACTTCGTATCGCCCTATAATCAAGAATTAATATCTGTTACGTTTTTTTAATAAATAAATTTAGGTTATACCTTAGCCTCAAAAACGCGTGTTGGTTATGCTATTATTAGTTAGTCGCTCACATATGATGTTTGTATTTTTAACATAGCGCCGTCTATTGAATACTTAACTCAGTCAACAGATAATTTTAATAATGACAAATAATTTTCTTTAATATACAAATAATTTGCAATGAATGAAAATGAAAAATGTTTATTAACAAAAAAACAACATAATACAAAGAAATGTCCGGTGGTGCCCACACTAGGTATTCCTGTGTCGTGGGTACCAATTGATAGATTAACACTACATGTTCAATGTTGTCGCTCGGCAGAGAATATAAATTACATAACTATTTCAGATACATTGCATAATTTAAGTTACAAGTGTTCTTATGTTAGTGAAAAGGTGCTATACTAGGTGCAAGAAAAGTTCTTCGGTGGTACTGTAGGTTAATGAGGAGAGCCAAGGAATAATTTTTGTTTTATCTTGTTTAACAGAGCAATGTGTAATGTCACAAGCGTTAGCTACTTTATTATAAATAAAAGACTCAATGAAGGGACTGAAGCGTCTAGCAAAAGATGTCTTAATTATGGGCAAGGGGAACCTATAGTCCCGACGTTTGAGTAAATTTTTGAAGTCTTTTGAAGAAACAGTTTTGTGATGAACTTTAAGTGCGATTTTTAATATGTATATTTGGCGTACGTTTAGAACTTCGCTTTCCTGGTAAAGTTTGGTTGTTGAATAATCAAATGGTTTATTCAACATCGTTTTGAGCACTGATCTTTGGGCTCGTTCAAGATGAATTAAATGCGTTTTACAGAAGCTTATGGTCAATTTATAGTCACAATATTATTTTATTGAGATGTAAGCTATCCTATCTTTCAAGTTGGATCAAGATGCACACATCAAATTTAAAAGCGGTTTAGTAGTTTAGGAGTCCATCGCGGACAAACATGGGACACGAAATTTTTATATATACAGGGTGACTGGTGAATTACTATCAATATTTAAGGAGCATACTCGGTACATGATTCTCATTCGAATTATGTAAAAAAAATAGGTACTTAATTTTTGACCAAATTTCCGTATAAATAAATAAAGTGTGGACGCGTGCGGCGGCGTGCTGATACAACAACACGCCGCCGCGCGCGAGTGTGTGTGTGTGTGTGTATATACCTAATCTGTAGGGTGTTCATACGATGCGTAATTAATTGCATAACTTTTGGTTAACTTTACTTAGAAGTTTATTAATATTTATGTTATATTAATTTTTATTCATATATGATCGTCAAATATCACGTCCTCAAATATCGATAGTAATTCACCAGTCACCCTGTATAAAGATGTAGCAATATTATTTAAAATTAATTTAATTATAAATACCTCTTGAATCAAATTCTGTCATAACATAAAATAAAAACGGGTCCGTATCATAATACAGTGTCTTGTGGTCTAAAAACAATTTTGCTAACAAACACAGGTTTTGCGCATAGCACTTATTCTTCCTGCCATCTATTTCAAAGAAAGATATACTGCCTTTCCTATATATTTCATTGCCTGGAGGGTGTTTTAGTTTGCATTTTATCTGAAATTTGATACACACAGTGTAAAATCAGAAAAATAATATTAAATTAATAATTTATACTAAGATTTTTTTTCAGATAAACTAGTACAAAGAGTATTTAAACAGAAGTTAATATATAAAGTATTATTAATATCATACTCACTAAATGTCTTTCTAGGCACTTTTTACTTTTTCTGTATTTGAGACAAAATTCACAAATGTATATACAAACTAGGTTAACCATTTCCTGAAATTAAAAGAAATATAGATTATAATACATGATGTAAGAAAAAAAATTCCTATGATAAAAAAATGCATAAAGTAGATAGACCAAAATTGAGTTATTGAGTGATCTATATGATTCAAGTCACTTATAGAAAATCAAACTATATTGCATAGACATACAGTCCATAATAAAATAAACCACTATTGACTCATCCAACTAATTCAAAGCACTTATAATAAAGTAAACTCTATTACATTGACATACAGTACATTATACCATATTCCACTATTGACTCATCCATCTAATTCAAAGCACTTATAATAAAGAAAACTCTATTACATAGACAAACAGACCGTAATGCCATAACTCACTATTGACTCATCCATCTGATTCAAACCCCTGGTAATAAAGAAAACTCTATTACATAGACATACAGTCCATAATGCCATATTCCACTATTGACTCATAAATCTACTTCAAACCACTTAGAATAAAGAAAACTCTATTACATTGACATAAAGTCTATAATACCATATTCCACTATTGACTCATCAATCTAATTTAAGCCACTTGTAATAAAGAAAACTCTATTACATAGACATATGGTCCATAATAACATATTCCACTATTGACTCATCCGTCTAGTTCAAACCACTTATAATAAAGAAAACTCTATTACATAGACATACAGTTCATAATACCATATCTCATTAGTTCAGGGACTTTATAAAAAAGACACTATGACATAATCTCAAGGTGCATAATACTATAGCAAAACCGTCAAGTTTCAAGCTAAAATCCACTCTATTACCTGTGGATAAGGTGCAAAGTACCACGGCCGTATTCTATGTTTTCCAAGTTCTATCATTTCGATGTTCTTCATGCGTGTGACGAGGTCGTCATGTCCATGGGCCACCATACTACCGGATGTTCGCGGCCGAGTGGTGGGGGTAGCGGTACCACTTACTACCTCATTGTCTTCTGCTGGTTCAGACTGGAATACCAATAATATATGTGTATATATATAATCTTCTTAGGGATTTCAGTTGATTTGTTTCATAAAAATTATCAGCGGCCAGTGCTGAATAGGGTACTAATTGTCACTGAGAGGAAGTATAGCCATTATGCTATGGACAACCGTGAAACAAGTCTAGTATATATAATCTAGTAATAAAGTATTGGACAGGACAAGTGTGCTTTTATTTATGAGTTTCAATTGTTACAACGCCCATGATGGATATGAAAAGCCAAGACAACCATGAGGCATCATCCTGACCCTTCTTCATATTTATATATATATCTGACCTCGGATTTTGTTTGCCTGATCTATAGTATATGTTTGGATGTTACCAATTAATTTTCTATATGTGTTACAATTAAATCGATGCATTTCAAGCCAAAGAATTAGGACCTATATGGTTATGGTGGTGGTATATCGCTGTAGTTTGGATTTAATTTGTCCACATCATTTTACAATGATTAAAACATCAAAATTGTAGAAAATTTATCTTTTATGAAAAGTGTTGTTAAAATTAAGTTTAGTACAAACAGCAAGATGTACAAAAATGTTATTAAAGTACAAAAAAATACCATATACATACTTACAATGTAACAAAAAGTGATTATATTATTATATCAACGGAACAAATATGAATATATTTAACTCACATCATTATCCAATGAATTTGCTTTCCGTTTCCTATTCATTTTCTTCTGTAGAGCCGCTGCTAATACTGCACCACCATTGACCAAGGAAGAAGATTCATTACCTAGGGTTGGACTCGCAGGTCTTGAAACTAACTGACGAGGTTCAACTGGCAAACCTTGAAATGTACCTACTGGTACTGAAAATTGCTTATTTAAATTATTATGTATACATATATAGTTTTAAGCTTTTAAAATTATGTTCTTTATCTACATATTGTATTGTAAAAGGTCACAATATGAAAATTGTTATCGAGTAAATGTTATTGAGAGAAATCTGGTCAAAAGATTTTATATTAATAATATTTTGACTTAACAGGTATTAAAGTTTTTTTTGATATATCCTTCATTTTATTAACATATCTTTTACTATAAGTATTTTGCATATTTTTATATAGAATAAATGTTTTTTTTTATTTAATGAATCTCTATAAACCATATAAATGTTTGGTAAAATGTGTGAATCTATACAAACTAGATGAATAAAAAATGCATACATTTAAAAAGTGAAATGTAGAATGCATGTCCCACATAAGAAATATTTGTTTAAAACAAATTCTACATACCGGTGGCAGTGGGTGGTTTTTGTGTGGAACCATTGAGTGAATTTTGAACTTTTTCAGGCATTTTAGGTGGTGTTTGATAGTTGACATTCTCTCTATTGCTAACAGACTTCTGATTTTCATTGCAGACTGTGTCATCTGCAGATTAATATTATATAATAAAAACATATAGTAATACATTTTATATTTGTGCCAATTAATATAGCTGTTATAGCATATATTGCAACAAGAGAAGCCAAAATATATGACACACATACTTCTATTGAATGCAAAACTACCATGCAATTATAAAAAGTAATTAAAAAAATATTTGAAGATTCCATCACAATCTTGATAGTCTTAGAATTAATCGAAACCTGAAAAGTTGTCTGGAAAAGATCAATTTTTTAATTTTTAATTAATTTTAATTATAGGGAGAACAAAGAACGACAAATATTATTAAAAACTATTCACAATACTACCATTTAAACAAAGAAAAGTTAAATCAGGATGTTGAATAAGTTCACCTATTAAGGCATTCGAGATGAGCTAATTCAATATATATTTGTAATGCACTCTTAAAACATGTTTACAGCATCATACCAAAAAGTTTTTCATTCTCAAAACTTCACACATGACAGTAAAAGATAAGTATATAAAGGAAAATGAAAAGCACTTCAGTATGAAGTTTTCAACCACAAGAAATTAAAGTCAATCGAAGATTTATGAGACGAAACCTCTTAGCATTCAATGGATTCACCGTTCGGGTGTAGGGTCCATCGTGGCAGGGAGAGGAACTTCAACAGTGCCTGGGACTTGGGACCCAGGTGTAGGTTATTAAATAAAATAATAACTAGCGTAAAAGAAACATAGCAAAACACACATACTAATAAAATTAGGCATAACGCCACCTCCCGATCCTATGTGAGTTTTCTTCGGTGTTGTCGTGCCCGCGGTTGACGTGCCATCGCCTCGGGGAAACTGAACCTTCCTTGTGTCGAGCCATGATTCTCCCACCCATTCATCTAGACGCTTATTAACTGAAAATTACATTTATTTCGTCATTAATAATAAGTATACGGAGTTTTTATTGAATATGTCAAATAAGAAAAATACTTAAAAAATAAATCTTATTCACCAAATAACTATTAGTTTTATGGGTATTTACTATTAATTGTAAAACTACAGTTGCCTCCAGCATGTAAAATGTTAGATATAAAAACTTCTTATAATCAACACTATGGAAACAAACTTATTTCAGTGATGCATTTTATTAATATTATGTTAAACAAGTTAAAAATCCACAGAAGAAGTTTTTGGAACTTTTGATATATTATTAAAAGTTACACATTTTATATAAACATGTTGAACTTTTAAGGTAAGTTTAACTGTTTTAAGGTTATTTAATAACTTACAATCTACATAATGTACATAATATCCTCTTTGTCCTCGCACTTCTTTAATGCTTATAATTTCTGCGAGGGGCCAATCATCACCTCCCTGCATCCGAACTGGCAGGCGACATCCTTCCACCAGCGACGACTGTTAAACAGCAACGATAAATAAACATGCTCAAAAAAATTATGCACGATATTTCTAGAACGAAAAACGTACTGCCGAATCACAAAAAGTTGTAACGTCGTCTTCATTTTCGTTCATGGTCTATATATAAATATTTAAACAAAAATAAATATGCTCTCTTGACAAACATCAAATCTAACAGTTTTGACGTTTATACTTATACTTGATGGTTCGTCTTTTTCACTTTTGCCTCAGCATCTAGTCTTTTGAAGAAAAGACTAGACATTTTGTTAATCATAAAAATATTTTTATAAAAAAGTTTTTTATACTAATATATTTTAACATATCTTTGAATAAAAGGTTAAACATTTAATATAATCAATCTAAATCTTTAGTGATACAAGAAGCAAAATCAACGATTACATGTAAAGAAGAAAATATATGTCAAGAAATGTGTCAAAAATAAATTAAATTCCTAGAGCCTAACCTCATCTTGCTTTAATATATTTTGAGAAAATCATTGAAATAGTACAATAGTTTGTCAATTAAAAATTTATTCGTAAAAATTTTTACAATTGGAGCAATATGTGTGCTGCCCCTACCCCTCAGATGACCGAAGCTGATCAAATAAAAACGGTACATGCTTTATATATTATCGAAATAATATAATTTTTTCAATGAAAGTGCTTATTTTGAAAATATATTTTAGTATATTAATGTATAATATTTTGTTTGTGCTTTTGAGAGCTCTAAAAATTTCCATTTTATTTCAGTTCAAAGATTTTCTTGTCCAATACAATAAACTATCAGAACTATGTTTTAATGACTGCATACATGATTTTACTTCGAGGAATCTCCGACCTTCAGAGGTATATTTACTTATGTATTGTTTTATTTTTTTACACTTATTGTTTATGTAACATATTGGACCATCATGTGATGTATGTAAAGTTCTTTAGGAAACATAAATGATGTCTTAATTTATTGACAAGTATGATAAATATAACTAGTTTTGTCTAATTCAATGACAAACTTTACTAATAACTGTTATATAACTTTCCAGGATAAATGTACAGTGAATTGTATGGAAAAGTATTTGAGAACCAATCAGAGAGTTTCACAAAGATTCCATGAATTCCAAATGATTGCTAACGAGAACATGTTAGCTTTGGCTCAGAAGTCAGGTAACCCGAGCTAGTTGAATATTTGTTACTATTAAATTATTTTAGTGATTTGAGTTTAAATGTTAAAAGAATAAATACTGTTGAATGTATAAAAAATTGTTTCGTTACACCCGTTATCAATAATTATATTGTATGGATGTGATAATATATGAAATGAAAATAGATTAATGTACATTTGTAGATACAATAACATTTACATGGCAGGTAATTGGTTCTGATCACTTTTGTATATAACACCCTAGTGTTTATGTAACAGGAAACATAAAAGGGTATAGTCCGTTAGACTTAAGCTGAGCTTTGCATTTGTGTGAGTGAAAGTAAAAGTAGAGTTAGACAAAAAACTTTTACAATTAAATTATATTATATTTTAAATAGGTACTTAGCATAAGTGTAAAGCAATTCTAGATTAAAACTAAAATAAGCAAAACTTGTAAAAGATCAGGTGTAAATATTGTGGAAAAAAAATAATGATTAATAAAAATTTGAAATAAATATACAAATTCTTCACTTGACATTGCGTTTTCAATGTTTGTCGCTGCTACAAGTACAAAGGGTGACGTGCGGAAGGTGCGGGGCGGAGTAAAAGCAGAATAAACCGGTTCAAAACTAGAAAAGAATGTGGCATTCAAAAATTTGACATCACATCTACACTATCAGTGTACACGCACACAAATGCAATGCACTGCTCAGCTTAAATCAAACGCACTATATCTAAATGAAAAAAATACTTAATTACTAAAGATATTATATAGACAATTAGGTACCTTTAATTAATATAGCACTTCCATTAAATTGTTGCAATTCATCAGCTGAAGAGCGGTTTTGAACATGGGATTATTAACAAATTTTGAAAGGCTAAACTGTAGAAAAAATTATAATGGTAATATTATTATATAATTTATGTTTAATTCATTCATAGCTTGTTTTTTAAACTATGTGTCGTCTTAATATACTTTTGCACAGTCATTTTTAAATACCGACCTATTTCCTGAGACTCAATATTTACATAGTAACAGTTTGTGTTGAGATAAATTGATGTATGTTATAAAGCTGGGAAATTGCTAGGTAGAAGAAGATAAATTGATGTATTTTATACTTATGCTTCAGTTCATATCAAACCCAAGCTCATTGTATTAAATAATCAAATCTATGTAGAGAATACCCATCTAGTTGCAAAAATATAACAATAATAAGACCAAAGATGTTATGTAAAGTATATTTAAATAAAAAGTTTAAGCTTTGGTTATAGTTCTTTGTTGCATTTAGTGGTTTTGCATATCTACTTGGGACACTTCCCATCTATTTTACAAAGCAGACAGGATGTGCTCTTCTTAGGGCATGGCTTGAAGCATCTTGATTCTGGAGGTGAAAAATCCAGTACAAAAGATGACTGTGAGCTGGTGTAGTCAAAATTGTAGTCATTGAATTTTGCTTCCACACTAAATTTAGCATCGGTTTGATCGTCATCGTCTGTGTTTAGAACGTATTTAAGAGGGTATGGCCCAGAAGGTGCATTGCTTATGTTGGAAGGCTTGGTGCTGATTGTATAACGACCGCCATGTCGAACTATTCTTATTGAAGGTTGGTTACAAGGAGAAGGTGGTTTGCAGCACGTTGGTATTGAAGGGCACACGGCTACACATTTCGGTGGCATGCAACATGGTTTGTAACACGGCGGTTTCCCACAACTGGAGACGCAGGGTGAACATTCGCTGGATTTCATGCAATTGTGTTGTTCAATTCTACGTAAAACTGGACAGGCAATATGGCCGGGTCGCCAACCACAACGCAACTGTAACATATTATACGTCACGAAAGTTTTATGGTACTTTTAATGATATTAATTTATAACCAAGACCTGATGTTCAGGGGCATCTTTTGCTGTATAATGCCATCCCATGTATTTCGGTACTGGCCCGGGTCTTATTTCGTGTTTTTCCAAACATTGATGTTTCGGAAGGTCACAGCGTCCTAAGCAACTTAATGACGCCCTGTTGGCTGGAAAGTGCAACGGGTGAATTATAATCAGGCATTCCTTTAAAACAATGTCTATTAAGGATATATCTTACATCGACCAGGCTTACAGCAGCATGCCATTATTATGATATAAGCGACCTGCAACCAATAGAAACCTATTATTAATTTTATAGAAATTAGGCAGACCCTGGCTAAAGCTGGGAAAACATCAACCCATTTCTGTAGGCACTCGCAAACTATGTTTCTTATACACCTTAGCCTCGATTACATTTATATACCTAAATATGCATTGACCAGTTGGTATTTCTTCTTCTATATGTCTTGGCAAAAAGTAAATATTTTTCGTTTATAATTTGGTATCATAATTAGAAGCATATAAACTCATTATACTGTTTTACCTTGGCGCCTTTTATAACTTCTATGCACGATTGTATTTTCTGCTAACAAAACATCAGGATAATAAAGAAATTTACTTACTTTGTTGAGGTATTATGTGGCCATACTTTTGGTTGTTGATTTTTTTTTATGGGACGTTCATTATTACATTTTAGTATTTATTTTTAAATTACATGTTACCAGTAACTGACATAGAAGATTTGTTTTATTATGCTATTGTTTTAAGAAGAATTTAAGGGTAAACAAGAAGTGTCAGGGTCATTATAATGACAAATACTTTAATGTCACAAAATTTTAAAATCTTCAGAACAGTTTTCTTTTTTGTATGGCCTGTAATTGTTATTTAATAGAAATATAGGAAAGAATGTTACAATCACTAACCCTTCAAACAAAAAAACCATTAATTATGTATAAGCGATCAAAATATATATTAACAAAGAAACTAAAGTATGAGATTCATTAGGTATAGTCAATCAATAGTGAAAAACTTAGAAAGACTAAAAGATGAACTATTGAAAGTTTTTTGCCTTTGTGAATATAAACATGTTATTTGTCAAGATATTTTTTTCGAAGACCTTATAATAATAATAGGAATAGTAAAGATGTGTAAAAAGTGTGAAAAAAATATAGGTAGGTGTTGGTTAGTATTAGTAGTTTCTTGAGTTTTCATTTATTTCAAAACAATTAAGTAAACATTAGTAAAGAAAAATCCACACTTTCATTCATGTTATATTTAAATTATTCGTTTTTGTATTAGTATTAATTATTCTCTTTTCGACTTCTTTTTATTTTTCTTCTCATTTTTCTCTTTTGATTGTGTCATCGTTTTAGGTTTTCTACAAAATACTAATGATATGAAATATTTCATCATCAATATCGGAGTGATTATTAATATAGCAGCAAAAATTAGTTGGTCGAGACAGTAATATTGATAGTATGGAACATCAGCTGCAGGTGTTCTAAACGTTTGGTTTGGATACCGTGCAACAAACTCTGTCCAATATACAGCAGTGTCTAGAGGCGATAGAGGACGATCGTGCCATGCTTTAGATATAGTTTTGACGTTTTCACGGAATCTAAAACCAAAAAAAATCCATTTTAAGCAAAGATTGGACATAAAATATGGAAATCATACTTTAAAACTGTTATTCATACTTGGGATCTAAGACTTTTTTGAAAGCAGCCAACAGATTTTCTTTAGTGAGATCACGTATCTGTAATGTCACACCTAGGCCACTTTCTTCCACTGCTGCTGCGTTAGATGGTTGGTCACCAACGACAGGCATCGCTACCATTGGCACTCCAAAATGTATAGCTTCAGTTGTCCCACCCATGCCAGCATGAGATAAGAATGCCAATGTTTTTGGATGGCCTGTAATAATTGGTGAATTTGCTTAAACGAAATCTTTATATAAAAATATAAATAGTTTTGTAATAAATAATTACTTAAATGATATCTCTATTTATGACTTTGTTTAACCTATTTTTTTTTATAAAAACATCGATAAGCTATCTGAAATTGCACTTAATCTAATAACATTATCTAATCTTTACGTTTAGAATGAATTTGTCAAGAAAACAATTTCACTATTTGATATATCGTCACAAATAATAAGAAAATGTAGTATTTTCATTTTAATTTAAAGAGTCCAAATAAGGGAACTATAAAGTTTTAAAATGTCACTGCTTCTTGCATTTTCAAATTCATATATCTATTTATTTTTATCAAAACGTTATTAAAAAAAATAAGTTTCGACAAAGAAATAATTGTTAGAAGAATACAAATGATGATATGGTATATATATGTTTGTGTACCTAATATGTCAACCTGTGGTAACCAACTTGAGACGTAAAGCTTCTTTTTATCCAGAAGTACAACATCTGTCTCCCATTTCCAGATGAATCTTTGTGGCAGTTCTGCCATAGCTCCTAATACAGCATTCAATTTATCGGCAGGCATCGTCGAACTTTTTACGACTGATCCGAAACTAACAAATATCACACCATGTTCTGCTTCTTCTACAAATTTTAATAAATCCTGAAACAATATGTTACTAATTATATAGTTTATGAGGAATAAGCTGTTAATATATTTTTCTACTCACCCCAGTCAAGGGTTTTGCCTTTTTAACATGGTAACCGCCTATTTCGATAACATTTGATGGAAACAGTCTTGATCCGGTTAGGATAAAGTTATGGTATAACATTAAAAACTTCATTTCTCGACCCAATTCTTCAAGGGGAGGTATATCATCATAATATTGCGCAAGTGTTTGTTGATCTACTCTTTGAGATGTATAGTAGTATACAGTGTTAAAGTATAAATTAAAAATAAATCTCTCTATTCTTTGGAACAGTGTGGGCTTAGTTCCACCTTCCAAAAAATGGAAGGAGACGTATGAGGGATTGTTCGGGATACCTAATCTATTATAATGCCACGGCATTAAAACATGAGATGTAGTGCCAACAACTGGAGCACCCAATTTGTACGCTATACCCAAAGAACAATCACTGTTAAATTGTTCTAACACAATTACATCAAACTTAGGTTTCTCCTTTATAAGTTTACGAACCCTTTCATTTTCTAACATAACCCTACAGTTCTCTGTTCCAAATTTTGTAAGATAAAGAGCTGTGGCAAGAATAGTTAAATATGATCTGTGAAAAGGTAATCCATCTTCTATTTCTTTCATACTCCCAGCTAAACTGATGTCATGATAGTTCTTCGGTGGATTGACCTCCGGGAAGTGCGAAATCACGGTAACATTGTGTCCTCTCCTTGCTAGTTCTTGTAAATAAACTTTGAACACAATGAAATGGCTCTTCCCATGGTATGGGTATATTGCTAAAATGTTAAGAGCTATCACACTTTGCCATATTAATATAAAACAAACACATAACCTATACAAACTCATGCTGACTAACAGACGTGCGTGCTTTGGTAAGATAAAATCATTACTAATTTACAAATAACAAGTCACTGTGAACTTGTATGATAAATGCTCGGAGAACGTAACAGTGCTACGCGTTATTTAATTCTGAACCGGTATTTTGTGGTTGTTTCTTTAAGTCAAGTAAGCGCAAGCTGATGGTAGTATAAACTTTATTATTAATATTAAAAACCAAATAACTATGTACTGTCTTAATGAATTTCTTCTTGAGATATCGTATATAGTTTAGTTTCGCTGCTAGTAACAAACGGACGTCTCTCGTCAATTCTTTTCTTTATAAAATTGATAAATATGAAATAATTTAAATCATTGTTCAATAACCATACTGTACTGTCGTCTGTAAGCTTTATAAAATATTGATATGGAAATGTTCGGTTTAAAGTCATTTGTTTTACTTATTATTGTATGGTATAAAATTTAAATCTCAGGATAAAATAGAAGTGTGTTTTTAGTTCATAATTCTACATGGCTTTCTGCTAAATGTATTCATTATCATGAATTACGTATCGTTTATCTATGAGTAGGTATACTTTTTATCTGATTTACGTTTTTTTATACATTTAATTTTTCATCATTCCCAATTAAAATACAATTTTAACGAAAATTATTCGACGGAATCAATACTTATATAACAATAAGTTTCCATATAGGTAACAAAAAAATAAAAATTATACAAAGAAAAAATATTGAAAAGATTTCACCTTTCTACAATTAAATTCAACTCAAATATAAATTCAAATAATCTGGCAATATCGCTCAAATATACAGGGTGACTGGTGAATTACTATCGATATTTGAGGACGTGATATTTGACGATCATATATGACAAAATAAAAATTAATATAACATAAATATTAACAAATTTCTAAGTAAAGTTAACCAAAAGTTACGTAATTAATTACGCATCGTATGAACACCCTACAGATAATAGGTATACACACACACACACACACTCGCGCGCGGCGGCGTGTTGTTGTATACGCACGTCGCCGCACGCGTCCACACTTGGAACACTTGGAACGTGTCCACACTTTATTTATTTATACGGAAATTTGGTCAAAAATTAAGTACCTATTTTTTTTACATAATTCGAATGAGAATCATGTACCAAGTATGCTCCTTAAATATTGATAGTAATTCACCAGTCACCCTGTATAATAAGAATTCAAATTAAAATTTAAGTTCAAGGTTGCGTCTGTCCCTACTATTTGTACAGCTCTGCAATGCACGGTATTTTTTATAGGAACTTGTGAGAATTGTACTGTAGTAATAAGTCCCAGTATATAAATTAGTGGTTAGGTCATTTAGCTTATTTATTTTTTGTTTTATGACACTTCCTTTTTTTTGCTTGTTATGAAGTCTGAATTAACAATCATTAAAAATTCAGAATAAATGTGGAAGATGCAATAATCCCAATGTTATTGTGTCTAAATTATTTGTTCTATTGAAGAAAGCTTGCAATAGTATGTATTTAAGGAGTCCTTATAAAAAATATTGAATGCTTTTTAATACATATGAAAAAAAATGCTTTTCAATAATATATCACTTTAATTTTTTTATGTACGTTTTGTTACTAAAAGGAAACATCAAAACTAACACGGAACACTTGATGAAAAGTAGGAATAAAATTAAAAAACAGATAAATGTAAGAATAATATCCAAGTAAAGATATTGATATAACGGTACATCTACTATTGGAGGTCTGAGTGAGATGTTTTGGTATTTAGCTGCGTATTCTGTCCAAAATATGGCACTATCCATCGCTCGCATCGGCCGATCATGCCACATAGCAGAAACTCTTTTTACGTTCTCTCGAAATCTGGAAAGTATTAAATATTTCAATTAAATAAAAATAAATGTGTATACAGCTTTAATCGGAAGCTTTAAATAAATAAACAACTAACTCTGGGTGTAAAACGGTCCTCAATTTCTTGAGAAGATTGTCTTTGTTCAGTAGATTTAACGTGATTTTAACGCCTAGTCCACTTTCTTCAATAGCTGCGGCGTTACTAGGCTGGTCACCAAAAATTGGTAAACCGATTATGGGGACTCCGTGGAAGATAGCTTCCGTAGTTCCCAAGAGTCCACAGTGTGAAAAGAATGCTACAGTTTTTGGATGAGCTGCAAAAGGAGCATAGTTTTATAACAGAATTACCTAATAAATACTCCCTAATCAATTAACGCAGAAAATTTTCTATTGAATTGGTAAATAAATACTACCCCAAAACAAAAACCCTTTGTTTGAGGCTTCTGACAAGGCTTTAGAAGGTAACTTGTGTTAGCTTTATTTAATATCATCTTGATAACTATCTCTGTGCTCTGTGTATGCTTAAATACGTTTATTGACGAACCCTCGACGGTTAATTCGAACCCTAGTACTCAGCTTTAATAATTTGAGGTACGTTATGCTGTTTGTTATTTTTGTAAAGAGTTATGCTGTTTGTTATTTGTGTATTCTAGAGATGTATTCAAGTTTAAAAGACATAATCTCGTTTTATTATATTGCATGTAATTTTACGAGGAATGGTTGGGCATAAGATATCGTTACTGATTCTATTTCTTAAACTGATCGATCTCCTTCTCAATATTGCTCTGAGATCTTCATCGCATGGTATGCATTTATTTCACCAGTCTTTCTTTGTTTATAGAAAAAATGACTAGTGACGCACTTGAAATATCCTCTTGTACTGCAAAGGTGACCCTTATCACTTAAGGTTACTTTAATCGTCTGCGTATAAAAAAAAGAGAACTAGTATTTTGCGTAAATACTATCTAAAATCAATTTGCTATCATTGTTGGGCTTAGTTGTAGATATTGTGACCGTAGGGGGTAATTGGAGGTCGCGGGTGTAAGCGCAATGATGTACCGCGGCCAGGCTCGGAGCAGGAGTAGGTACGGGGGGTTTTTAGTCAGTAAGAGTCTGACACTCCCTCTTGCCCCACCCAGGCAAGAGGGGTCATTTGATGATTTTCCCCTTAAAAAGGGGGTAATTAATGAAATAATAAAATGTACCTAAAATATCGTTTTGTGGCAACCATTTTGATAAATAGATATTCTTTGGATTTCCCGGTAAAGTCTTTTTATTCCATTTCCAGATAACTCGTTGTGGTAATTCCTCTAGTGCCTCAAGTATGCTGTTTAATTTTTCTGGTTTTATTGATGATGGTTTTAGTATTGTTCCAAAACTTATGTAAATAACTCCATGTTCGGATTCCTCGATAAATTTTAGCAATTCCTGCAAATAAAAATATATCGATTTATTTTAAGTTCTATTAACATAAATAATATTTTTATTTTATTTTTGTATTTTTTAAAATAAGGATCAACTATTTATTTTCTATGTGATTCTTCTTAATAAAGGACTCATTATAACATAAAGGACTGCCCTTCACAGACTGGTTAAATTTCGATCGATCAAATATTTGTCCGTTGGAATAAACTACTTTTTGATCTGACTCAAAGTATTCACTAGTTAACAACTTATTTCAAGGGTTACTCACGCCAGAAAGTTCTTTGGGTTTCTTAACATGATAGCCACCAACGTCTATAACATTTGGGGGTAATATCGAAGATCCGGTGAAAATAAAGTTTTGATACACTAATATCAACTTAATGTCCAATCCTAATTCGTGTAGTGGAGGTAAATTTCCAAAATATTCCTGTACAATGTTATTCTCCAATCTTTGTGTAATGTATCTATTAACAATATTGACATAGTTGTGTAAAAAACTTCTTTTTAACCGTTGTAAATATGTAGGGTTAGTTCCACCCTCGATGAAATCAAATAAAGAATATGAGGGATTGTATATTATACCATATCTATTGTAGTGCCATGGTAAAATCATATGAGAGCTAATACCAATTACTGGTGCTTTTAATCTATATGCTAATGCTAAAGCACAATCACTGTTAAATTGTTCAACAATCACTAAATCAAACTTCGTTTCACTTTCCCACAAATTTTGCACATTTTCATCATCTAACATAACTCGACAAAAAAGTGGTCCAATTACTATATGACCAAGTGTCAAAGATATTACAGTCATAAATAGAGAATCCATAATGGGATGGTTCAATTCTAAGGCCTGTGCGTTTTGTGACAAATCTATGTCATGATAATTCTTTACCGGTTTCTTTTGAGGATAATAAGATATAACAGTCAGATTATGGCCGCGGTTTGCTAACTCTTTTAGAAATGGTTCAAAAACGAAGAAATGACTTTTAATAGACGCAGGAAAAACACCTAAGATGTTTAATGTTTGCACTTTTCCGATATTACTACTTAACGATAGTAATATTGTTATTTTAATTAACAAAATAGCAACTGACATTGTATCTATTTTTAATTGAAGACATTAAATCACTTCTAAGTACGTTCATTGTCTGAATGATAAAAAAATTATCATGCTAAATAGAACACATTATTAATTAATTATCAAGCACCACGATACGTAAAGTTTTGATGCGATAATTAAGTATGTTATACAAAATTGAGATTAAAAAATATAATCAGTGAAGTTTATCAAATTTTTGAACAAAAAATAACTGCTGGAAGTGTAACTGTTGTAATTTTAATCAAAAAAACTGAACAGGACAACTAAACAGGGACGAAACATTTAAAGAACACTAAAGTTTTCCTTGGATTTTTCACAACAAGAAGAGTTGGTGGAAATAATTTTTAAATTTAAAAAGGTTTTGATCATAAAAACTTAAGCTACAAATATTATTGTTGAATTCAAATGTTAGATATATTTTTAATGAATGTGAGCTCTTCTGGCTATCGTCTTAATTTCCAAAAAACTATAGGAAATAAGTTAAATAAAAATTTTAAGTAACAAACCGTAATGGTCTTTTTCGTGTCATATATGCGTAGAATTTCAAGAGTCCTGTCCTCCGCTTCTCAAAATATATTAAACAGTAGATACATGGCGAAAAAAAAAACTATCTTTTTCGTTTGCTATATTTAATTTCATTAATATTCCTCAATCTAAATGAACCAATTTTTTTTCATATGACTTTGTTACTTATACTAGATGTCTCGTCTGCCCGTTATCACGGTTGCTGCAAAGTAACCGAATCGTCGGGAGTGTGTTGTTTTTTAATATAATAAAATAATCGTAGTAATCCGAAAATATTATATAAAATTATATTATTAATACATATCTATAAAATATGTATAACATTGTTTTAATCTTTGTCTTTCATTAGATTTAGCACAATTTTATCGAAAATTCCGTCTTTATCGTGTTATACCGAAATCTACTTCAATTTTACCTGAGAATAAACTAGCAATATATTCGTGTAATATAAAGTATATTATGTCAATTCACATTCAGTAATTATTTGGTTAGCCGACAAAGGGACTGAGCCATATTTAATGTTCATAGAATATTTACAAAATTAAATAAAATTTGATTTCATCATAAAAAACATTTTGAAGTCTAAACATTTCTAAAGATACCAAGCATATTTTTTAAATCCTATAGCCAAATTACGGTTGTTTTTAGTTCAGTGTGCTTCATTTATGTTGACTTCTAGTTCCTTATTAAATACTACATTATTGTCGAGTATCATTTCAAAACTCAAAACGGTTACTCAATATTTTGAGTCATTGACAAATCCCTCTAAGTCCTAATAAAATTGTACCAACATCGTTGACAGAAACAACACGACCTTAAAGAAGCGGGAACTTTATATTATGATTTATTTGTTTCAGGGGAGCTTATATAGATAAAAATTTAATAATATGGACTCAAAATTTTATTTGCAATATAATCTTGACAAAGAGTACTAAAACTAGATCATGAATGAAGTATTATTATTCCTTTCAACGTTCATATGTTATATTAATCCTGTGCTTAAAAATGAAATGACTTGTATAAATAATGAAATATTGTTTGCTATTCTCTATTTGTGATTATGAGAGAACATATTAATGTACATTATGTAAATGATACCAGGGTCATAATTATTATTAAACTGTCTTACTATAACCACATTACTCTTCATTTTTCAATAAGTTTTGAACATGATAATCTGAAAGCATTTTCTGAAGTAGCTTGTTTCAGTTTGAATCGAAAATATCCCAAATACAGAACCATAATATGAAGTTGGCTGCGTGGGTACGACATATTCCTGTTGATACTGGTTTTGCTTTGTAAGCTTATGTCGTATTGCTTATTGGAGTTTTTGTGGAAAATGTGAAACGACTGTTATACTTAGTATAGTATTTAATAGCGAACTCAAAAGTACTTCATACTTATATAAAGAAATGTATGATATCAAAAAGTAGACAATATATTAAGAGTTTATTATTCTTAAGGTTTGATATATAAGTAATTTAAGTATATGACTGAAATAACAATGTTTAAAATTTATAACTAAAAAAATCTCTGGAATATGCAGGGAAATACTATTAAAAGAATAAGGTGTAAGACAAAAAAGTATGTTTTTATTTTCTTTCTAATGATTTTTAAGGAAAAGAATATGTTTCTGTATAGGAAAGAAAAAAATTGGTTGTTTGTAAAGTAGGTTTACGATCGAGATGTTTACGTGATAACGTCTTATTGGTGATATAAGTTCTTGGGAAGTAAGGAATTAATGAAGATAACAAATTTTTCAAATTTTAAATTACATCTATCGTTTTATTCACACTTTTGATGATAAATTTTGGTAAAATGACAAGTTTACATATTCGACTATGATATACATTTTTCTTCATACATACATTCATACAAACATACTTTTATACATTTATACAAACATTTATGCATACATACATACATACATAACATACAATACGAGAGTGAGTGGGAGAGACGGAAGATCGGTCCACTCACTCGAACGCTATGCCTGCCTCCGTTCGTGAGGATTCCGCGTGACAAGTTTCACGGAATGACAGGCAGCGCTCGAGATGTGACGGGAGATCGGTCCGTGTCTCTCTCGTTATACCTGCGATCGCGCTCGTGAGGTTTTGGTGTGACACAAGTTTCTGAACATGTCACCCGACTAAAACGATTTTAAAGACGTTATCACGTCAAAAACTAAATCAATGAAATATACTGAATAATGAAGAAAAGACGTAGATATACACAAATTAAATTGTTTCTCCTTTGTTTCAAAGCGTTGACTCTTAATGAAAATAAACTTAAATAAAAATAAATAAATAAAGTAGAGATCCATATTTTAAAATGTTTTAAATGCTTTCATATTGAGGATAATTAATTACATTTTTAGGATAATGAGTCACATAAAATGTTAATCATACTTTATTATTATGTCAATAAATTAAGTCACTTCACCTAATTATTATTATTATAAGCATATTTTCTTCCTGTACAGTACAGTTTGCATAACATTATTTAAAAACTTATACACATTAAAATAGTTCTTCACATTCTAACACAACAATTTTTTAATTAAAGAAAATGTGTATAACGTTCTATTAATTACTCATTCAAATTTAACTCTTCTTGTCGTTCGTTCCCTTGATATTCGTTCCACTGGGGGTTCGGTTTGACAACAACAACAGCAGCAAACTTTTAATACTTTGTAAAATGCGTACATTACAATATAAAATACAATAAATATAAATGCAAGGACATCTAGTTGCAGCTGTTGGTACCAAGGTACTTTAACAGATGGCGCTCCCATGTCGGGCGTACCGTTGTATCGAGCTACGTATTCAATCCAATAGGTGGCGGTTTCTAATGCAGTCATTGGACGGTCGTGCCACATTCGAGAAACAAGCTTCGCTTGTTGCTGCCATCTGGAAAAATATGTTATTTCTTTAAAAATATGATACAAAGATTACTTCTAAATAGCTATAAACATTTTTTGTATGTTGTTAACAACATACAAGACTCAAGTGTGTGTTGTATTTATATTATTACTATGTTACTTGAATAAAAACAGACTAGCATTCTTGGTCCGACACGGTCGCGGGCTCTCAAAACATCGTGGAGTGTTATATCAAAGCCTTTAGTTGTTTACGCAAGAGCTACTCGTGTCTTCACACGTAACCTGTTACTTTCATGCTTATGTCACTCTTCCTATATCATTCGTATGGAGTTACAAGTTGAATGTGAGATTTAAATGATATGCACAACACAGCATTATTTATATAGACTGAGAATGTAATTACGCCACATTTAAACGTTCCAATTATTTAACAGATACGAAGCTATTCGCTCTATACTATATTGCGTATTTATATTCATGCAGAACCGTTTTGTTGATAAATAAAATGTAATATTTAAAATATTGAATATTTTTTTTTACTAATAACTTGTAACAGGTTTACATGTTAATTCAATATATAATCTCTTAATCTACTTATGTATGTAGATCTTTATATTTCTTTTCTAGAAATATTTTCTATATGTTTTTTGTCTCACGTCCACTGCTCTGTTGGCATAAATAGTTTAATAATGGATGAATGGATGGTTATTATGAAGATGTCAATCCAATTATTTTTCTATATACATGAACGACTATATATATTAAGACATTCGAATACTCATTACTAATACTCATAAGTTAAGTAACGAAATTGTGATTTCAGTGTGTTTAAGGGATTATTGATGTCTGAGATGAAGATTAAATATTATCGGGAATATAATGAGATTTTTGTATGAGTATTTACAAACCTTTGATCCAAGACCTCATCGATAGCATCTAAAAGTAGTTCGTGTTTAAGATTCTCATATGTGACTATACTGGCGATGCCAGCGTCAACTAGGGCTGCGGAATTGCCATACTGTTCTCCAAACAAAGGAATAGCTACCATTGGCACGCCGGCATCCAACGCCTCTATACAACTTAGAATACCACCGTGGGAGATGAACGCCTTTACGTTATCGTGTTCTGAAATTTAATAAGCATATGATTTAAAACACTCACCAAAGTAATCACTATAGTAAATTTCTTCTTTAATTCCTTTTTCTATTGCTTATGAGGGAGAGTAATAATACTTATATCTATTCTATCTTTGCTATCTTCTAGAGAAGTTTTATTAAAATCAATTCATCCCTGTAACTTAACGGACTGAGTTACCTTCTCTATTTCAATATCACGATATGGGCTAGTGTAGAATATATTAACTTACTTAAGATATCGTACTGCGGGAACCATTTCATAGTCATAACGTTTCTTGGCAGATTTTCCACGCTGTCTCCATCCCATTTCCATAATATTCGGAGTTGTAATTTTCTGAACGTTGATATTAGTTCTGTGAGTTTGTCCTTCGGTAATGTGAAATCTTTGACGGTTGACCCCAAGTTGATGTAGATAACTCCATTTTCAGCTTCGTTAATAAATCTTTCTATTTGCTGTCAATAATATTAATATATAAGTATTAGTAAAATATAACATAAACATTGAAAAACATTTAAACATTAGACTTGAGCATATTTGTTACGATAAATAGATTATCTCATAATTAGTTTATTTTTAATCTCCTAAGATTAATCTTAAATAACTAATTAATTTATTTTAAATATCAATTTCAATCTATTTATAAACAACTCAGAACAGAAGCAAAGAAATTATAATTTATAAATTTATTAAATTTTCCATAGAAAACATTTTTAGGAAGAAGTATATAGTTCTAAAGATTCTTACAATATACTTTTATGAGTAACTTAATATAATTAAGTGGTATTGAAATATTAGTAAATAAAATCATGATATCTTTAATTTCATTTCGTTACTTTTACTTATAACTCCATTCAGATATTTTTGTATAAATGAAAAGATGAACCTTTAAATTTGTATGAAATTCTGTTTCTATTTTCTTTTAAAGTAAGTAAAAATTTAAATCCAATATATTATAATGTGACTTATTGTGTACATAAATTAAAAAATGATTTCATTGAATATAGCGACTCGTTAAAAACATTGTTGCATTTTTATTTCGACGATGTTATTGCGAAAAACTTTAACTAAAATGAAACTGTGATGAATAGATAATAAATGATTTAAAATTTGAATAGTTTTTGAATATGTAAGTAAATAATTAAATTACACTGTCAAAGTTCAATCTGTGTTCATTGTTTTTAATGATGTATATATGTAGGTTACTTGATTGTATTATACTTATAGTCTTTAATGATGTGAAGTCTGGCTTAAAAACACTTATATTATGTATGAATAAAGAAAAAACGAAAAAAAAACTCATTCTGTTTAAATTATTTTAGACTGTTTACTACTTTAAACATGAGTATGTCGTAAGTGTTATTAATTATGTTAGTGTTAAGAACGCAAATATACTTGTAGTCCAAGGGTTTTGTATAAAAATTGTTATGCCTACCGTAGGTATACTTTTTGGTGGTCTGATGTGTATTCCTCCTATGTCGACAACATTATCAGCTCTCGCCACACCTCCGAAAACAGATTTGTGGGTATTCACAAATACGAGGCTGGCATTTGACGCTATGCTCTCCAACGTTGGAAGATTATCCCCTAAATATTTATAGAGGTACACGTGATCTGTTACTTGCGAACCGATATAATATACCCAGTTCGCTACGTGGTATAATATAAAACTTTTGACTCGATCAAAAAACCATGGTTGTTTTCCAAACGGCAGTAGAGATTGGGGTACGTAAGCCGAGTTGAAATGTATTCCTAGTCTACTAAAATGCCAAGGGTGTATCGACTGAGGATTAAAGGCTATGTATGGTGAACTCAAATTTGCCGCCAATGCAAGGGCGCAGTCACTGTTGTATGATTCAACTATTATCACAGAATATTTAGGTTGCGTCCTTATCATATGCAGTACCTCGTGATTGTTCATTAGCGTTTTGCAATCATCGTTCCCTTCTTTAGTTGATACCAGTGTTTCGAACGGCACACGCGAAACTTCATTCACAATAACTGATTCGAATGACAGGCCTTTATTATCTTGTTTATCACTAAGTAGAACTTCATGATAGTTGACTGGCGGGTTCGGCATTTGGAAATGGGTAATGAGAGTCACATGGTTATTCCGCTGAGCCAGTTCACGGAACAATCCACGGTATGTTTGATAATTGGCACGGTCGGCGGACGGGAATATACCGAGTATTTTGTAACTCTGCGCTGCGAATAACTGGGAAACGATGTAAAACACGATAATATATTTAGTCATATTTGATCGCGTACGTCCGTATTGGCACAGCGATGGTAACTGGACGGCGATGGAAGCTTGCGTATCTGTCTAATAATAGGTAGATGGTATGAGGTAATCACTGACGGCGTAGTGGTGTCGTAATTTTCAGAAATATATTATGACCGAGAACCGAACCGAAGTCAATGAACGTGACCCCGATTTCCATATTAAATGGACTCGGTATTGTGAGCCGAGTTGTGTTTTGTTTTCTGTTATCATTTGTTTACATTGTCCGAACCATTTAATGTAAACAATGCAACTGCTACTTGCATCTATAGCTATCATAATCTATTGAAGAAAATAATTTTTGTTTTAAAATTCTATGACTTTTATGTGAGAGATTTGAAAAATATTGTATCACGTTCGTAAAATTTATTTATAGGTTTTATTTATTATACTTATAGCGGCAAAAATACTGGAATAATTATTAAAATTTCTCTTTAATTTGAAGCAGAAAGTAATCGATATTACAGTTTAATTTTATTGTAGTCTCTATATATAAACATTGATAAGTTTTATAAATAAATATTACAGTGCTTGACTTAAGGAGGGAGATTTATTGTGTTTTGCTTATGGTCCAAATGAATAATGTGTTAGAAGCAACAAATAATGTTCTTAAACTTTAGTCACACAAGTAAATATATTAAAATATAATTTATGACGTAAAAGGATCTAAATAATTAATAAAAAAGTTTTCTTAAAAAAATGTTATTTACCGTTATTATATGAATTGAATAAAACCTGTTTAAGAATCTGGTTCCTAAAATGCGGAGAGAAAGCTTCGTATGTTACAATCAAAGAAAGTGGAAAATTTTGAGAATTGATGTGTTAAAACATTTCCATGGTTTTCGACATTAATCAAAAGATAATTCGTAGAAGTTAATTAGCACGAAATATATATGTTAACTTGATAAGAGTAACTGTTTGATTATAAATTAACACTTAAATATAATCCTACCCGTATTTGATTAAAGCACGTTAAAGACGGCTTCGTGATCGATATCATTTTTGTAATAAAACACATACATTTTATGTAAGAATTTATTATGAATTAGTATGTTTAATTTGGATGATCCAATCAAAGTTATCTTCAAACGTATAAGTAGTTCCATTTTAAAATTACACCCTTGCATATATTTATGTCATAAAAATTAATATTCAAAGACGAAAATAAACAAAATTTGAACGATTCGTAGTAAAAAAAATTAACGATTTAGAAAGACTAAAAAGAACTAAACTGGTAAAGAAGGCAGGGTCGAATCTTGTTTACATAAGAGTTTTTTTTAATATCACCTATTATGTATCCATGTACTTATACAGGGTGACTGGTGAATTACTATCGATACTTGAGGACGTGATATTTGACGATCATATATGACAAAATAAAAATTAATATAACATAAATATTAATAAACTTCTAAGTAAAGTTAACCAAAAGTTATGTAATTAATTACGCATCGTGTGAACACCCTACAGATTAGGTATACACACACGCACACACACACGTGTGGTGGCGTAGTGTTGTATCAGCACGCCGCCGCACGCGTCCACACTTGGAACACTTGGAACGTGTCCACGCTTTATTTATTTATACGGAAATTTGGTCAAAAATTAAGTACCTATTTTTTGTACATAATTCGAATGAGAATCATGTACCGAGTATTCTCCTTAAATATTGATAGTAATTCACCAGTCACCCTGTATACTGTTGTTGTTATTGGGTCAAAATGAAGGTAAATTTATTGTCTTATTTTCCTTAAAACAATAATCAAGGATATTTAATATTTAGGGAGTTTAAATTGAAATTGCTGAAACAAAAATTCCTTGGAATATCAACAATTGTTCTATTATAAATAATATGAATGAAAATACAGCAGCCATAATTAAAAAAAATCAATTACCACTTGTAAAATTAACATAAAATAGATACAATTATTCCATATAAAGAAACAATATACAAAAAACAAGTCAAAATATCATGTTTGTACCAGATAGACTGATCTCAGCCCTTTATTTTAAATATATTTGTTATGTTATAAGAAAATATTTGTTTTTTTGATAACTCTTAATAATTTGGTATTACAGTAAAATTCGAAGGTACCATTCAGTGACATATGTACATTATATGTTTACGGTAACTAATAACGACTGTCACAGATAATTGATGATTGCCAATTATAACTCTATCATATCTCAGTTTGGTAGCGATAACATAATTCTACTGTTCATTGCTAGGTTTAAAATTTATAACAAATATATTACGTTAATCGTTGTTGTATATCATTTGATAAAATACTCATATAAATATTATTATTTTATTTTCACGCTGCAAGAAGAGATTATAATTTAATTTATCAATGTTAAAAAGAATAATAAGATATTCAAAATAAAGTGACGCGTGATAAATATAAAAGTAAAGAATATATGTTGACGATTATATTTTATAATATATTGTATGAAATTGTAGGTAACATAACTTTTAAGTTATGCCTATTAATTTCGTGTGGCCGCTTAAAACACTTACCTATTATTACCTATCTGTTAATACATGAATATAATATAATGCTACATCCACTTCCATGAATGATATTAAAATAATTAACCTTCCAAAGTCGTTTAACCTCCTAAAATAGATTAGTTAATTGTATTAGCAAATGGGCAATCCTGTGTACGAAATTCAATTTATAACGTAAGTCTGGCATTACGCTTTTCGGCCGGCTATTCTGCAGACTGGAAACTATTCCCAGGCGGCCGACCGTTACTAATTTTCAGTCCAAAACAATGACCACACAACACATATACTAATCATTACTTTAGAACCCTTCTCACAATAGAAATGTAAAGCGAAACTGAAAACAATTTTAATTAAGTAACGCTTATACTTTTTATGTTCGAAGTTACATTGAAAAGAATTGTTTTATGTCGAATAAAGCTAAAAATTCTCTCACGTACAGTCAGTAAAAGATCCTTTATATTTGTAGTTGAAAATAATTTCAATGGAGTATTATTTTATACTCTAATATATAGTGTGTAATCGTATCACTTTATTTAATAATCTATTTCTAGTATTAAATATAAATAAACAAGGGTAAAGAGATAAAGTTTCGCTTTGTCGCGGCGAGACGTAATCGTGTGGGGCTTCTTATTAGGGTTATAACTTTAATAAACATTATCGTTATTTTAAATTCATAGCTTAAAAAAAACATAATTTTATTTGTCTGTAATTTTGATAGGATGAAAATAAAAAAGTCTGATTTAAGGTTTGTAACCATATTTATGTACAAGAAAATATGACTAAAATTGTAGGCATATCTCTCTTTGATAAAATGTAATAAGAAACTAATATCTACTATTCATCTTTACAATCACTCAAGTTAGCCTATTGTCATTTATTACTGAACGTGGGATTCCCATAAAGTAACAGTCACTGACTTTGGCACACCACATTCAGTTGTTTTTCGACATCTATCTCAAATATACACTATATATTGTATAAATTTTCTTTTTATATATGTTTTAAAATATAAACATTAAATTGGCAACCCTAACACAAAGCCTTACAGCAAGATTACTGTGCTTTATTAGCAGTTGTTTACCTGTACACGACACTCGTTTCAAGTCAACAACACACCAATACAAAATCTAATGATTTCTTTCATTGTTTAAACTATAAGATGGTAGTGAGTTAAAACAAGGATTTCATATACCTCTAGTTGCCTATTATATACGCATTTGTTACGATCCCGGCCCTCGACAACATAAAAATGTAATTACAAGTGGAAAGTTCGGAGCAGTTAAATATAGATTTACCCTTTGAAGAGCTATTTGATAGGGCGGAGGTGTGAGATCCATCATATTTCGATTGTGCCTCGTCTCAATTATTTCCCTTTTCCTGTATAACTTCATTCATTTTTCAAGTTTCCTGACGTCTGTATTTAGATATCGCTTACTAACATGTAAGCACATGTTAACCTTTCAAATGTAATATTCACAAGGAAAATAAAATTTGTTATTTACATTCATATTCACTTACATTGTAATCAAAAGATGGTACTTATGAGAAATTAAAACTGAGTTTTTATTGACAAGCGTCGAACATAACACGCCTAGTGTTATAAATATTGCTTTGTTTCACGCGGTGCGATTATCAATTATTCATAAGGCGCATAAGTATTTTTTCTCACAATTAAAACGGTATTACCTAGATGCACATTTCTCTATAATTTTGAATTTATAAAATAGTCTTCATTCTTCACTGTAGGTACTTTTTAGTATTACAATATCTTTTTAGTATTATAGTAATATAAGTCACTTTAACTGATATGACTCTGAAAGTAGATTTTTATTGAGTTTGAATGCGATTTCTAGCAGTTATATGTAAAATATTTGTGAAGTCTAAATCTATTGAGTAGTTTAAATAACGTTAGAAATAAACTCAACTCTCCAAATTCGAAATAAAATATGCAAAGATGGATATAAAAATATTTCGAATATACATAGTATAATATTGTTGGTCTTTTATTCTTTGTTATATATATGTATTGTTGATCCCTTAAGTCTTTGTGTCGTACTTACTAGGAAGTTAATAGAATCAACGAAGAAAATAAAGAAAAAATATAACTTAAGTCATGAATTCTCATATAATTTCGGTAATAACTTGTAAATGAAAAAACTAAATTGATTTAAATTGTATATTTTTTATAAAAAATATTCTTGACACACTAATATACATTATTTGTTTGGTAAATTTAAAAAAACCAAAAAAGAGGTAAATTAACTTCCTTTGAATTGAAAGGCAATTTGAAACTTATTGACACATATCGAGTTTTGAATACATAGCTGGAATTTACTAGGAAAATTCATTGCGTATTCTTCTATAAAGTTGTTTAAAACATTAATAATATCCAATTAACTGTTAAATTAAAATTTAATAATAGATCATAAAGGACAGAATTATGATCAGGATTGGAACCTAACAC